AACTCACACGCACACACGTACATGTACACACACACACATGCACACACACATTCACACACACTATATCTTTTTTTTTTTTCCTTGAGATGGAGTCTCACGCTGTCGCCCAGGCTGGAGTGCAATGGCGAGATCTCGGCTCACGGCAACCTCTGCCTCCCGGGTTCATGAGATTCTCCTGCCTCAGCCTCCCAAATAGCTGGGATTACAGGCACACACCACCACACCAGCTAATTGTTTGTATTTTTAGTAGAGACAGGGTTTCACTATGTTGGCCAGACTTGTCTTGAACTCCTGACCTCATGATCCACCCGCCTCAGCCTCCCAAAGTGCTGGGATTACAGGTGTGAGCCACCGAGCCCAGCCACATACAATATCTTTTACTTGCCAAAGATGATGACATTCCCTGACTGAGCTCAGCTGACTTTCCTTTCGGTGTTTTAGGCTGATTTCTGAAGAGCATCTTTGATGATGTTACAGCCTCATCAAATCTCTAAAGATGTGGTTGAGGAAATGTGGTTATGACAAGGAATATTTTTTGCAGGATCATGAGACTGGATAAATATTACTATAACGTGATTTTCTTTGCTCCAAAAGAACATTTGCAAATTGCAGCGTTAGACACAGTTACGGTACTTCACAGCACTGCTCATCAATCCAAACTAGAACGACACAATTGCTCAGAATATTGCAGAGGTTGCATGAAATCCTGAGGCTATTCATAATCACTCTCCATGATACTTCAGGTAAGAAGAATCCTTTGTGAAGGGAAGACAGTGATTAATCATACTCCAGGACTCAGTATAAGTAGGATTAACTTACTCACTTTACAAACATCAAATAAGATCAATTATATACTTGGCTTTTCCCATGAAAATAAAGGAAAGAGAGTGATACAGTACAGTCCCAGGGAATGTCACAGTAGGACGTGAAGGGGGAGGCAGGTGTGAGCCTGTCCTTCACAGATGATCAGTACCTGGTAATGTCTTAGGAGAACAAAGGTTCGTCCAGGCCATGGAAATAGTGAGGACAAACGCAGAGCATATAAAGGCTGCTGAGTTTTAGGAAATGTTGAAAGAGCTGTTTGGTCACAGAAGGTAATTGGATCTAGGTGATGAGCGTTAGAAAGGCATCCCAGGGAAGTAGAATTTATTTGAGGAAAACTGGAGCCTTTACCTGTTTACTGTCAGGGGTAAAATGACCTCATCTGTGTTTTGGAAGGTACTTGAGTGTGTCCTGAAGAGTTCAGATTCTGGCCAGAAGACCACAGGGAAGACATCAGAACCAACTCCAGGACTCTCATGCCAGGCAAGCGGCTCTTTGGTGGTATCCCCAACTGGGACCGGCCACCAGTGACGCCAATTGCTGTGAGTTCTTCCTTTATGTTCTCTAGATATTGAAAATTTGGGGAAGGGTGAGAAGAGAACTCATGGTGCACAGAACACCACTTCTTATCACCTTCTGCCTTATCTCTATTTTCAAAATCTTTAATCATATTCTCTCTCAGCTCCACTTTCCCAAATCTCAATTTCTTCACCCTAATTATACAAAGCAAACCCCTGTGATTTTACCTCCAACACTATGCTATTATCAACAATCTTGACTCCAGAATGAAATTCCCTGCCCTTAAAAAGAGAGCACCAGCTGTTACATGATGAACATGTCCTCTGCCCCTGTAGCTTACAGTAGCAAGCAGAGAAGGCGATTCTGCAGTGAACCTACTGGAGCAGCAGCATCTTCTGAGCAGAGCTACTTGACCTTATTTCCTTCAGCCCCGAATGGCAGAAAAGCCCGAGGTTGCTGGATCCAGCATGATGAAATTATTTTTTCTTTCTCCCTGCAGTCCCCAAGTTCTCACGGATATGTCAGGGCTGAGGTTGCTCCACACTGGGGCAGGCAGGTTTGTGCACAGGATGCGGTTGGCTCTGCAGGGCTGTCCCAAACTTCTGGGACAGAGATACAGGGCCAAGTCTGCCAGCTCCAAGGTGATCATGTTCTGCTCAGAGTGATAGTCAGGGAACTGGCGCCCTGAGAAACGATCACGGAAGTTTCCTTTTACTCTCTGTAACCCATTATGATATTTTAACAATTACTGGAGGCCCTGACCTGGAGCTTGTTGGTACCAGGACACACTGTTTTGCCCAGAGACAGGGGAGCAGCTCAGTGTCACTTGCTGTCCTCTTGTTTTGATCAGAGATCTTGGAGTTTGGGTGACTCCAGCCTCTACTGGGCCTGCGGGAAAAGCAGATGGAGGATGAGCACAGGAGACAGTGTGGTGGCACCTCCCCAAGGTAAAGTGGAGAACACAGGGGTGGGGCAGGCTCAGAATGGGGTGCTGTCCTGTCTGCAGGGACTCACCTGCTCCCAGGAGACAAAGCAGTGCCCAGCAGAGCAGTTTGGAGCCCATGGCACAAAGGGGCAGGCAGCACCGTGTCTGTGCTCAGGGTTTGGTCCTCCTGGGGAAGAGCTGAGTTCTCAGCCTTGCTTTTCCTGGTGGGAGGGGCATCCTGTGATGTCACTCTCCTATGTCCTCCCCTTGCAGGCCTCCTGAGGTCCACTGCTCTCTGCTCTGCACAGCAGAATCCACTGGGCCTGTGAAGGAAGGGGATAGAGGCTGGGGCAAGAACACCAGAGGGAGCCTGAGGGTGCCTTGGATGTGGCTTGCTTCAGAGACATCCCACGTGTGCCAAGGACTCACCGGGTCCCAAGAGACAAAGGCCTTCCCATCAGAGGCACCTGGAGCCCATGGCCGGGTGGGACAGAGCTGGGCAGGAGTCACCCTGCCAGGGGTGCTGGTTTTGGGCATTGCATCTCTGATCGGATGTCAGCCTGTGATGTGACTGCCGTGATGTCATCGTCTCTGCAGGTCCCCACGCACCCTGCCAGTCACATTAAGGAACAGTGTATTATTCTACTGTAAAATGAATACTTAGAAATGTTTGAGTTCAATTAGATAAAATTGCCAGATTGCTGGCCAATCCTTACCTAGAAAGAAACAAAACAGAATATATAGATTACTTCAGAGATGCCTCATATCCCATGATAAACAACTATTATATTTCACATAAGAGCAGGCCGAGATAATAGTATAAAAATGACTGAAAGATGAGAGCATGGATCTGACTTCTCCTAAAGTTGCAAACTAGCATCGTCTCCTGGCTCCTTCTCCAGATGAACCCGATAAGACAAGAAAGAAACATCAATATCAGAAACTAACGAATAACGATGATGATCTTTCGGGAAGACTGAAGCTATTTCGCACAGGAGTATAAAGAATATGAGCGGTGAGCCCAAGACTGCAATGAGAAAACAGGATGGTGGAAATGGTTTAAATCCTACCTTGTCTGACTCCCTCCTTGCATGGAGACAATCTTATTTACACTTTCATTTTAGAAATCATATTAGAGTAACTGATACCATCGGGACACCAAGAACACCAAAAGAAAGATAATTTCTATCATCTGAGTGCTTGTGTCCCTTGAAATTCATATGCTGAAATTCTAAGCCCTGATGTGATGAGATTAGGAGGTAAAGCCTTTAAGAGGGAATGAGGTCATGAAGGCCTAAGGGGTTAGTGCCCTTGCAAAGAGACACTAGAGCACTAGCTGGCCCTCCCACCATGTGAGGACACAGTGAGAAGGAGCCATCTATGAATCAGAAAGTGGGTCCTCCAAGCCACGCTCTGTCTCATCTGTGACATAGTGGCTAGGGGTTTAGCTGACTCCAGGTTCCATATATCCTGTGGAGTAAACAGGGGCCTGAAATGGAATGAAACATAACTTTGGAACTGGCCTTAGGTAAACAGGATAAGAATTTCCCAAGCACTCTCAGGACTCACGTGCTCCAGAGAGACCAAAGATCACCCTACATAGAAGCCTGCTGTCTCTTCATGGCAGAATTGGGCAGGGCTGAGGCCACTCCCAGCTGAAGCTCTGGTCATTAGCTGTGCAAATGGGGAGATCTTGTGAGGTCACAGTGTCGGCTGCAGCCACAGACTCAGGATCCTGCACTGGAGGAGTGGGAGCCTTAGTGATACACTGGACACGGATGTCTCCAGGCTCGGCCTCTGTGTTTTCTGGGGGTGCATGGATTCCCCCAGGCTCGGCCTCTGTATATCCTGGGAGTGCATGGATGCCCCCAGGCTTGACCTCTGTGTTTCCCTGCGGTGCAGTCCTGCAGACCCTGTGTGAAATAGTGCAGTTGAGGAGCCCCCAAGAAACACAGAATTCAGGAGACCTAGGCAAGCTAAGACACAAAGAGAACGGCCAGGACCCACTCTTCTCCCTAAAGGCCAATGTAAAGCTACAATCCAGAGACACTGAACTCTGAGCCTGATGATTTAACATGCTGGGAATAAAGAGACCAAAAGGAGAAAACATCGTCTTCCTGTGTCAGTGTGGAGAGGAAATCCAGTGAGGAGTTGTGATCTTAAACCAAGGACACTTCAGGTCAAGAGAAGGAGAGTAGATGAGTGAGGAAGCTTCCAGACCATGGTCCACGAGATCTGAATGGATGGGAGTGGACAGAGGCAAGTTTGCTTCCTGCAGGATTCAGAGAAGGTGTCTGTGTGGATGTGGAGCTTGATCAGGGCTGGAATTTATGCTGTAGATTTGAGTTTAAATAAGAAAATTAGAGAATAGACAAGATGGAAGATAGAATAACAGAACTGGTTTGACATATTTCTCAAATCCATTCCCCAAAACCTGGGTTATCTACTGTGCTCTCCAGCTGCCTCCTGCCCTGGGACCCTTGCCTGGAAGTTACCTCTATGATTCCCCCAAACCCAGTGCTGCTTGACCTTGGGTGTCAGCAACTTATGACAGAAGGGACGCCTTAGTTCCTGAGAAAGAGAGGCTTGGAGACCACCAGACATAAAGTGTCAGAAGAGCTTGGCTCCTCACAGGACACTGTGTGGCCCATTGCAGGGTATGACTGCGGTGACACAGGTGGTTGTTTAGAGGGTTTTATAAAATCTTAAACTAAACAATCCCCTTATAGCTTGCTTTATTTTACAATTTAAAAAGGGATTTTAAAAAGACTAGATCTGAATGTGTTTATCGTTTTCAAATCAGTTGACAGGGCAGAGTCACACGCTAAAGAAAACCCACACTCTAAATATGAGCACGGGATGTAAAGTTGCCACATGGATGAATTAGCAGGTGCTGTGATGTTCTGAAGCTTCTGTCGGGGCTCTTGCAGGAAATGTTCACCCGAGCCCTCCGTGGCCCCCACAGCTTCCTGGCAGGCCCTGAAGGTTTCTGCGCAGGAACGTGGTGACTCTGCAAGGCTGTGTCTTGGCTGCTGGCGCAGAGATACAGAGCTGAGTCTTCTGGCTGCAGGGCGTGTAGGTGAAGGTAGAAGAGAGAGCTGTCTGGGCATTCAGGTACGAAGCGACTGGGCACACTGTTGTTTTCAGCCGGTTCTTTAAAGTTGTAGATAAACATGAGCTCCGGTGGCTTCCTAGCTTTCTGCTTGTACCAGTACATAGCATTGTGCCCCAGATGTTGTTCACATTTCAAAGACTTCTTATTTGTCATTCCCATGACCAGGTGTCTTGGTGTCTGGGTAACTCCAGTGTCCATGGGGACTGTGGGGGGAATGGGACAAAATTCAGGCAGAGCCCAGGAGGAGGGTTGTTGCTGCAGTCACAAGGAAAAAGCTTGGAGATCGAGGACAGCTGATTTGAAGCCAACTCACCTGCTCCCAGGAGACAGAGAACCGCACAGCAGAGCAGCCTGCAGCCCATGCTAGCCTTGGGTCTGAGATAAGGCCTCTGACTGGGGTCCTCTGGGCAAGGGGCTGGGCTCTGGTCTCCTTGGCTCTGGTTGGTGGTTTTTCCTGTGATGTCACTGCTCTTGACAGTTTCCCCAGACCCAGGGGATATTTATTCCTGGAGGTTTTACATCCTTTCTGGGTCCTGATAGAAGGTAGATTTGAATTGTCTGGGCTGGGATTAATGGGTTGGGCAGAAAGGGCAGAGCCAGCTTTTTATTCCCCAAGGATATTCCTCTGGCAGGGGCTCCTTTGCTCTCAGTTGCTTCCTCATTATGTGGATCCTCCCTCTATCTCTGTCCCCCTGTCTTTCAGGATTCCTCTCAAGGACAGACCACTCCCATTCAAGGAATCTCCTTCTCCCCTGTGGGATCACAGAAGACAGCGCCATTCAAAACATCCCTTCCCTCAATGTCTAAGCACGGTAGAGCCCTTTTTGCCCGGTTCTGTGGAGGGAGGATGACTGCATGACCATGGATGCAGTGTGGACCAGCGCCCATCATTCAAGGATATGACTGTGATGCCAACCAGCAACCAGGCAGTGGGGAGGGAGGTGAGGGACACGACAGGGATGAGCCACCCTCTGTCCCTGAAGTGGAGGGCATGGGGCTTGGCTGGGCTTAGGGCTAACATACACAGGATGCTGAAAAGGAACAATGCAAGGTGTGGGGTGCACGGGAAAGGGGAATCAGCTTGAAGCTGATATAATAAATAAACACAAAAGATAAGTACAAATAAACACAAAAATGAAATGATTTGTAATCCCTAAATGATTTGAACCATCTACTGTTTTAGTACATATTTGTTACTATTTTGTAATGACAATTTGATTGTAGGATTAGGGTTGTAGTTATAAATCATAAAAATCTATGTTGGGGGTAGAAAGGCATTACCGTGATGAAACTATGGGTTGATAATTTAGAGATTTTTAAACTTGGAGATGTGCTGGGCCAGGAGGAAAGTATTAGATTGCTAATATTCTCATGTGTAAATTGTTTTGGATTATTTTTATGTGGCCCTTAAAGCAAAGAATGTAAAGGCACGTACATCAGAATTTAAGAAAAGTGGTTGAATCGTCTCCTCCTGAACAGGTTCCACATATGAGAGACCTTCGACCTGCTATGGTTGGATTTATTTCATTCTTAGATGAGAACCTAACATCAACCTGATTTAAAGGCTAATGTTGTTACTATTAAAGTTATTATGATAGGAGTCTGCTTCAGCAAGGAAACAATTCTTGGCCCTTCCACCAAGAAAGAAAAAAAATTGAATTAAAAAAAGTTTGACTGCATTGTGTGGCTCTTAATAAGTGAACCAAATTTCAAGGATTTTTTTTTTTAATGGAATTCAACCTACCTTGAATAACAATGACAATGAAAGGCTTGACTGCCCTGAGGTCAGTAGCTAACATAAACCTTTCTCAAAGCACAGGGTGGGTGATAGGTGAGTTTAAGTCATCTGAATTCGGGATGGATCTGAAGAGGAGAATGACCTCAGGCCAGTCAGAGTTGTGAGAAGGAAGAGCGAAGAGTGGAATGGTAAATGTGAAATAAAGTCAAGTAAACATGTCTATACCAAATAGCAGTACTATATGTGATTGAAGCTAGGACACAAGTGACTCCAAGACAGTTGGGATTTAGGACACAGTGTACTAAAAAGGAACCCAAAAATCATATGTAAGAAACCTGCCCCCCACTTTTTTCTCCTGAGCCAGATCTGAAATTGTGTATGCAGAGGGTGGCAGACCCGAAGGCTGAGCAGAGAACAAGTTCTGGAAGGCTGAAGACAAGGGCAGAGATTTCAGAAGAGCCAGGGCATTCAGACCCAGTTACAGTGGAGTGATGTGGTGAATACACTGTGATTCCCAATAAGACCCTGGGAAGGCCATGCGCTAGCAATGATGACCACGTGCTGGGGCTCCCTAAGAGGGAGGGCGAAGCTGAAATAGACCCTAGCAAGTCCTACATTTAACCCTCCCAGAATAAAACCCAACACTCTTTCCAAGAGATAACATAACCCAGAGCCTCAAGTGTATATCGTCCACAATGCTTTACATAAACCCTTTCTTTCATGGAGGATATTTAGAAGTCTCCTAATCCTTCAGACCACCCCAAAATCTATCTCCTTTCTGATACATACTACTTTCAGTGTTCCTGTACCAAAATATCAGTTTCATCATGTTGTTTCACTTGGAGTAGGACCAGTGGCTCACCACTGCCTAGGGATTTGTTTCCAAAGTCCTTTCAGGTCTCCCAATATCCTCAGTCATCTGACTATTGCCTGCTCTTGAGGAGAGTTCAAGATGACCTTCATCAGAATTGGGAGCGACGCTTGCTGGTCACCCTTCTTGAAAAGAAGGAGCCTACAATGCACAAGGCTGCCTCCACTGGCTTCTCCTCAACGCTTTCCAGTTTACCTATTGCCATGGAATTTCATGCCTCTCCAAATATTTCTCTGTTAAATAAAGTACTCACTGATAATCCAAATTGTCTCTTGATCTTAGAAATGCTTTCCTTCCCCTTCCTTTATGCTTATGCTCATCAACCATTTTTACCAACACTGCGTTTGTAATCATAACGTTAGCTAAAATATGTACCCATATGTGCAGCTGACAAAGATAAGAAATGGCTTCTCCCATCAGTTAAGATCTTCAGTGCATGGGACAGGCTCCTGTTTTGTTAGCTGAGCCCTGATACTTTGCTGACTTTGTTGTGAACTCCTGCTTTAGCTGATAAACAGAATTCGGAGAGTTTTGTGTACATCATATGGAGAATTGCCACATCAGGTGCACTAGCCGGCTGTGCTACAGACTGAGACTCCATCAGAGGCCGTCAGGGAGTGGAGACTGGAGCCTTGGGTGCAGGTGCACACACTGGCCCACAGCTTCCTGGCTGATCCGGGAGGTTTGTGCACAGGGATGTGGTGACTCTGCAGGGCTATGTCTTGGCTGCTGGCACAGAAATATACAGCAGAGTCACCAAGCTCCACGGACTTGATGTGAAGATTTAAATGAGCTTTGTCTGGAGACTTAGGTGAGAAGCGATTTGGAACTGTTTCATTTAAAATGGGCTCCTTATTATTGTAGCTAAACATTATCTTCAGCAATTTCTTGGAGTCCTGCTTATACCAATACATAGTATCATGGCCCAGATTTTGTTCACATTTAAGGGACTCGTTTTTTCCTGTCTGCGTGACCAGATATTTTGGAGTCTGGGAAACAGCTGTGTCCAAGGAACCTGTAAAGGAAAGAAGCAGAATTCAGGCAAATCCCAGGAGGTAGCCTGCTGTCGTCATGGTGAAAAGGTTTAGGGACTCCAACAGGATGATGTCACCTGGGCCCAGGACTCACCTGCTTGGAGGAGGCAGAGGGCCACACAGCAGAGGAGCCTGCAGCCCATGGCAGAGTCAGGCAGACCAGGCAAGGCCTGGGGCAGGATTCTGGTGTGCAGTGGTGAGAAGTCTAGGCTGTGCTTTCCACTGCCGCTGAGAGGGGCTGCGCCAGTGAGGTCACAGCCTGTAATCATTTCCCCATTCCCAGGCTCTCCTCTAGCATGGCTCCTGCTTTTCACGCCCTGCACTTGCTGCTTTAAAGGATTTTTTGGAATTTCTGGGAATAGTTGAGAGGGTTGAATTGTGGCCTCCAGGATGTGTCTCTGACAGTCATTCCTGTGCCATCAGCCCCCTCCCTCCCCGCTCCTTACCTGGGATCTGACCACCTCCTCCCTTCCTCTCCCTTTTGGGCTCTTCTCCCAGAGTCAGGCTTTTTTTTGGGATTTCCAAGAAGTCAGGGAAATTCCGAATGCTTTTTAAAAAGGTGAAACATGAGCCTGAAGTGAAAACAAAGTGTGTTTCAGGTGTGCATCCTGGAGGTCTGTCAATGCCACCTTCTTTCCTATCTCCAGGTGTCTTGGCATCATCAGATCTTTTGACATCTGGACAAGTCTAGCTTCCATGGGTCTCTGTAGATAGGGAGAGAAGTTGGAGATGGAAGCTGAAAGGGAGTCTGGTGATGCTGTTTTGATAGAAACATTTGCTCAGGCCTAGGAGAGGGGTTTCCTATCACTGTGGGGAGCTCCTGGTCCAAAGACTCAGAGGACCATCCAGAAGGGGAACAAGAAAAAACTTCTTTCTAGCTTAATTCCTTGATAATTTAGAGTGAGGAGAACGGGGCTGTAGTTCACTTTTGGTCTCCTAAGCAGATTTCCCTCAGTTATTATTCTCTGCAAGATCCCCGATGGACCCCTGGCCAGCCAGACTCACTTCATGGCAGGGCTCAGCTGTACTGGGCTGAGCTGGAGCAGAGGCCCAATGCCCAGAGTCTCTCTTTTTCCTCTTGGGAAGGGGTCCTCCATCTGTGCCTGCTTGTGGGCTCCCAGTCTCCCCAGCTCATGCCTCGTCCTTTCTGATCCCATGCGGGCTCGAGTGCAAGTCTGACAGTCCAGGCTCTTCCCTAGGACAAAAGCGCCTGCACATCAAGGCAAAATGAATAGTCTGTATTTAACCCTCACACTTAGATCCTTGACTAGCATTCTCTGCAGACCACATTTTCTCTTGTTGTAAATAAACCCAATCTTTCTCTTAACCCTCTGCCATCCAGAGAATTGTCTCCCCTTCCTCCAAGTTCTCTGAATCTCAGCAGAGTCACAGCTCCGCCTTGTGGTCAAAGTGTCAAACATGTCAAGGCTCAGTCCCATGGTGGACCAAAGGCAGCAGGGCAGGGCGGTAGAGGTCTTATTAGAGACACGTGAGGGGAGACTAGAAGCGCTTCATTCCTCACTCTCTGCAGGAAGCTTCCACCATAATACAAACATACAAACCTACAAACTCAATTGCACTTCATCTTTAATAAATATAAAAACTGACTTTCAGAGTTAATAGACTGGATTGTTGCAGAACAACATTCCCACCAGAAACAACTAGAAAAGCTTAACAAAATATAAAACAGAAATGTTTGAAGGCACTTGGAGCTACTGAGGCAGTAAGAGCTTAAGAGATTTGGATCTCATAGAAAATGGATAAATCTAAAAGACAACAAAAATCCTACTTTTTTCCCTTAAAGTCATTTGCCAATTTCATTTT